AGAATTTTACCAAACATTCAAAGAAGTTCTAACACCAATCCGCCTTGGACTATTCTAAAAAATTCAAGAGGAAGGAACACTTCCAAGCTCTTTCTATAACGCCAGCATTACCCTTATCCCAAAACAGATAAAAACACTACAAATAAAGAGAATTACAGGCCAATATCCCTGATGAACATACATGCTAAAATCCTCAACAAAATATTAGCAAATCACATCCAGCAATACATTGAAAATATTACACACCATGACCAATTGGGATTTATTCTGAAGATTCAAAGTTGGTACAATATCTACAAGTCAATAAACATGATATATCACATAAACAAATTGAAAGAAAAAAAAACACATGATCATATCAATTGATAAGAAAAAGCAATTAACAAAATCCAACATGCTTTTTTGATAAAAAGTCTCATCAAAGTGGGAATAGAGGGATCACACCTCAACATAATAAAAGCCTTTATGACAAATATACAGGCAACATCATACTCAATGGGCAAATACTAAAACCACTTCCTCTAAGAATAGGAACAAGACAGGGATACCCATTTGCACCATAGTTTTAGAAGTTACTAGCCATAGTGGTCAGATAAGAAAAAATAAAAGTTATCCAAATTGGAGGAGAAGAAGTAATATTGACATGATACTATACATAGAAAACCTTAAAGACTCCAACAAAACATTACTAGATTTAATAATGAATTCATCAGTGTAGTAGGATACAAAATTAACACTCAGAAATACATGGCAGCCGAAACCGGTTTGGCTCAGTGAGTAGAGCATCGGTCTGCGGACTGAAAGGTCCCAGGTTTGATTCCGGTCAAGGGCATGTACATTGGTTGCGGGCACATCCCCAGTCGGGGGTGTGCAAGAGGCAGTTGATCGATGTTTCTCTCACATCGATGTTTCTAACTCTCTATCCTTCTCCCTTCCTCTATGTAAAATATCAATAAAATTTTTTTTAAAAAGAAATACATGGCATATTTAAATACTAATGAACTCACAGAAAGGAAAACTAAAAAAATACCATTTTCCATTGCAACAAAAAACTTAAGATATGTAGGAATAAACTTAACTGAGGAGGTAAAAGACTTATATTTGGAAAACAACAGGATGTTGAAAAAAAAAAAGAGAGGAATATATAAACAAGTGGAAGAATATACCATGTTAATGGATTGATAAAATCAACATCATTAAAATGTCCATACTATCCAAAGCAATCTATAAATTTAATGCAATTCTCATTAAATTATCAATGGTATATTTCACAGACTTAGAACAAACTCTCCAAAAATTCATCTGGAATTTAAAAAAAAAAAAAAAAAAAAAGACCCCGAATAGCCACAACAATACTGAGAAAGAAGAACAAACAAAATTGGAGGGATCACAATACCAGATAACAAGTTATATTACAAAGCCACTGTTCTCAAAACTACCTGGTACTGGCACAAGAACAGACATATAGATCAATAGAACAGGACAGAGAATTCAGAAATCGACCCAAGCCATTATGTTCTATTAATATTTGACAAAGAGGCAAACTTATACCATACACAAAAATAAACTCAAAATTGATAAAAGACTTAAATATAAGATGGGAAACCATAAAAATCTTAGAAGAATCCATAGGTAGCAAAATACCAGACATATCTCATAGCAGTATCTTTACCAATACATCTCCTAGAATTCTTACCATTTGCCACAGCATCAATGGACCTGGAGAGCATTATGCTAAGTAAAATAAGACAGTCAGAGAAAGGTAAGTATCATATGATCCAGCCTAATAGCAGAAGGGCTCAGGCCCTTCTAAAGAAGGGAAATAATCAATTCCATTAATTCACACATGGTAAATAAGATTATTGCTAGAGTATTGAGTTTGACAGATGAATAGTACCAATTTCTCAGAGGAAATTAATGTGGCTAATGGAAATAAATGAATATTCTAGAAAAACTGATTGTATGTACAAAAAGCTGTTCCTAAAGTGTTAACAAAAATTCTTATTGGCAGAGCGACCCATGGTAAAATTGCACAATATTTATGAACCTAAAGCAGTCATAGTGTAGCACAAATAATTAAAATGTAAAAGCTATCAAGACTACATTATAAAATTTCCAAAAGTCTCCTATTTTTTAAAGTAAAAAAGAGGGTGACAGTGGAAGAATATCATGTAAGGAAAAATATCCTGAGAAAAATTTACATCTAAAAAATTTGTACTTTAGAAAATTAACCTTCATTTGAAATACTAACACCAAGATACCCATAAAAATACACACGTAGTGTCAAAACAAGCCAGGGAAAAATTATTTGGGGGGGTGGGGGGGGAGAATGAAAAAGAATCCCAAATCAAATTTAAAGAAAATATCCCTTTATTAACTTTTGGTGGAGAATATGTTTGTATATTTCCAGAAAACAACTCTGAGACTATCTGGAATCCTGTAACAGAGAGGAATAGACAGAAGTGCTCCAGCCATGAAGACAGAAGAGACACAATTCAGAGATGGAAGATGCTGACGACGCCTCGCCATACCAGCAGAGAGCAGCTGTGTGTTGCTGAAGGATGCCCAGGACCAAACCAGAGACGGTCGGACCTGCATCACCACCGTTTGTCCTCCAACCAGATCTGAAATATCAAGGCTGACATGTACACATAAGGAACTATTTGATATTAAAATTGGGACTCAAAAGAATTGTTGGCCCAGAAAGGAACTCACTATAGACTGATTCAATTGCCTCTCAGCATAATCATTATGGCTTGTCGCAGTTTCGGTTCTTACAAGGGTATTTCTTGGATCACATGATCTCACACATCTAGAGGAAATAATAAATAACATACTGATGAACAAAAACAGACCCAGAGAAAGAGCAGCAGTGATCAGACTCACAAACCTTAGAGGGAAAGTAGGGGAGGGTGGGGGTAAGGGGAAGAGATTAACCAAAGGATTTGTGTGCATCCATATGGGCCTAGCCAGTGGCCATGGACAACAGGGGGGATAAGGACAATTATGTGAGACCATAATCAATAAAATAAATTTAAAAAACACACATATAGCCGAGACCAGTTTGGCTCAATGGATAGAGCGTCGGCTTGGGGACAGAAGGGTCCTGGGTTCGATTCTGATCAAGGGCATGTATCTTGGTTGTGGGAACATCTCCAGTAGGGGGTGTGCAAGAGGCAGCTGATCGATGACTCTCTCATCGATGTTTCTAACTCTCTATCTCTCTCCCTTCCTCTCTGTACAAAATCAATAAAAATATATTTTAAAAAAACACATATAATTATAATTATATATTATAGTAACACATATCCTATATAATAAAGAGATAATATGCAAAAAAATATATATATATACTGTATATATATCCTATCTAATAAAAGAGTAATATAGAAATTAACCACCATTCCACTACACCCAACAGCCACGCCCACCAGCCAAACATAAGCCAGTATGCAAATTAACCCCAATCAAGATAGCTGCAGCCACAGAGAGCAGGAGGGAGGCTTGGGTTTCCCCAGCAATGGAGGAAGCCAAGCTTTCCACACAGCCTGGCGGGCCCAGGCTTCTACTCAAGATTACAAAGTTTCAATTATAGAAGATAAATAAATCCCAACAAAAATGGTGGCAGCCACAGAGCTAGAGAGAACAGGAGGCTTGAGTTGTCCTCAGCAATGAAGCCAAGCTTCTGAAGCCCTGGCCTGCCTTGGCCTCTGCTTAAGGCTACAAAATTTCAAATTATAGAAGATAAATAAATCCCAACAGAAATGACTGCTGCCACTGAGCAAGCAGGAGGCTTGGCTTCACTCCAAGCTACAAAGTTTCAATTATAGAAGATAAATAAATCCCGGATACAGGGCCTCCGCCTCAGTTACCCAGGGAGTGTGGCTGGCCTGAAAACCACATAGGCCCCTTGCCCAGCCGCCCCACACCCCAAGGGAAGCCCCACCCCGATGCGGGACACCCTTCAGGGCAAATTAGCTGGCCCCCACCCATGTACCAGGTCTCTAGCCTATCTAATAAAAGAGTAATATGTAGATTGACCATCACTCCATGTAGTCAAATATCCTGCCCCCATGTGGACATAAGATGGCCACCACAAGATGGTCAACAGGGGAGGGCTGTTGGGAAGGACCAGGCCTGCAAGGGAGGGCAGTTGGGGTTGATCAAGTCTGCAGGGAAGGGCAGTTAGGGGTGACAAGGCCGGCAGAGGAGAGAAGTTGGGGGTGACCGGGCCTGCAGGGAAGGGCAGTTAGGGGGAACCTAATCCTGCAGGGGAGAGAAGTTGGGGGATCAGACCTGCAGGGGAGAGCAGTTGGGGGGATCAGGCCTTCAGGGGAGGGAAGTTCAGGGCAAACAGGCTGGCAGGGAAACAGTTAAGCATCAATCAGACTGGCAGGGGAATGGTTAGGGGGTGATCAGGCTGGTAGGCAGAAGTGGTTAGGGGCAATCAGGAAGGCAGGCAGGAGAGCAGTTGGGTGCACGCAGTCCTGGATTGTGAGAGGGATGTCTTACTGGGATCCCACCTAAATGAGCAGTCGGATATCTCTTGAGGTGTCCCAGATTGGAGAGGGTGCAGGGTAGGCTGAGAGACACCTTCACTCCCCTCCCCATGCACGAATTTTGTGCACTGGGCCTCTAGTATATATATATAATGTTTAAAAGCACGTTATAAATACATACTATCTGATAAATGAATTTACTTCATAATTGAAAGAACCATTGTTGGGTTTTGTGAGTTATATCAATCCTATGTGCCTAGAGGCATATAAATCTCCCTCCTGCTATCCATTCTTCTCAGCTTGTCACGGCATTTAGGGCACTTCAACCACTGAGGTTTGGGAATTGGGGTCCCTCATTTCTTCCAGCATAAAACTGGACCTATAGATAGTACGGCAGCTACCCCTTCATATTTATCAGAATCCATCCCTTACCAAAGCAACTGTAATACCACATAATTGAATCTACTTGCTATTTTATCCATCAGTGTCCCCACCTCATACCTTGCCCCAAATATTCAGAAGGATGGAGAATTTCCCTGAGACATTCGCGCTGCTGAAGTCCTGCAGCTCAGTGTCGTTGAGCAGCTCCACGGTGTCGGTCACAACATACAGATTCATCCCTGCTTCCCGGCATTGCTTCAGGAACAGCGGCTCTGGTTTCAGCAGTTTCCTGCAGGGAGGAGAGGGTCAGAGTGGGAAGAGATGCCTTTCCGGGTGGCCCTGGGTCACCCTGCTCCTCAAGACCTGGAAGGGGCGTCCCTGCCACAGGCAGAAAGATCCTGGCACATGGGTTAGGTTACCAAGGAGGGTGAAACATCTTCTTTGCTATGAGGGTGGAGGGGGCCCCCACTTTCTGATGAAGGTGTGGGAAGAAGAGTACACAGGCTATTTTGTGAAAGTCATCAGCATTTTCCAAAATTAAAATAGGACCAGGTCTGCAAGGAAGGGCAGTTGGGGGTGACAAGGCCGGCAGAGGAGAGAAGTTGGGGGTAACCGGGCCTGCAGGGAAGGGCAGTTAGGGGGAACCTAATCCTGTAGGGGAGAGCAGTCGGGAGATGTTAGAGGGCAGTTTATAGATGCACAGTGCCGGGGCCTCCCACCTGAAGTGGCCCGTAGTCCACCTGGTTGACAACAGTCCTTGGCAGCCTGACCATTGTCCAGAGGCACAGTCAGAGTGGGGTGGGGACAAACAGATAAAGGTGATGAAGCAGGAGATGCTGGATGAGTTCCCAGGACAAGCACATGGGGATGTGGACAGTCACTGTCCTTGGCAGGTGGCTGGGAGGGCTGTGGTGAAGATTCAGGTCTGTGTGGGGACATGACAGGTTGAAAATCCGAAGACGGATTTCATCTGCATTTCTGTTCTCAGACTCAACTCTCATTCCACTAAAGGCCCCACTGGGTTGGGCCCTGTAGAGAGCCGAGGGGAATACTGAGAGATCCTTTGCTTCTCGGGGGAGGAGATCACAGTCTTCCCGTCACCTTTTGGGGGAAGTTAAGGCCCTTCCCGTGTCTCTAAGATGTTGTGTCATCTGACATTCACTCACCTCCACGCCTCACTTCTGTCACCCTCATCCTGGTTGTCTAACTCCCACCTCACTGACTTCCCGCAGCTCTGGAAAACGCCAAGCCGGTCCTGGCCCAGGCTTCATACCCCTCATCAGGATCACTTTCCTCCTGCTCTTTGCTCCCTTTATTCTGCAGGTTAGCCCCACTGCTAGCCCCACAGAGAGACCTACATTGGCCCCTCCATCCAGCCCTCTTCCATCTGCTCCTGACTACCCACACATCCATTTATCAAAAATGTCTCACTGCCTTTCTTTTCACATTTCAAATTTGACCTCAACCATACTTTTTTTTTCCTTGGTGTTAGATAACAAAAAGTATCCCTGAAATTTGGAGCCTCTTCAACTGCTGAAAATATTTTAGGACAAATTTTATTTTATTTTCCGGCTACATACTCTTTTACACCATAAAGTCTTTGTAAGTGTTAGTTCTAATAAAAATCTTACAACACACCAGAAATACAGAAACTGTGCCATACCCAGTCAAAGTAACTTTGAGTCTCAATACCCTGGGACTTGTATTAGTTGCTTACTTCAGTACTTCTTTGCACTAATAGAAATACTATTTAGGCCTGGCCTGTGTGGCTCAGTGGTTGAGCAATAACCTCTGAACCAGGATGTCACAGTTCAATTTCCAATCTGGGCACATGCCCGATTTGCAGATTCAATCTCCAATAGGGGCGTGCAGGAGGCAGCCAATCAATGATTCTCTCTCATCACTGATGTTTCTATTTCTCCCTCTTCCTTCCTCACTCTGAAATCAATAAAAACATTTTTTTTTAAAAAAAGGAAAGAAATACATTTTAAATTGAAATTTGTTTCTAAAAGGTCTGAGGTAAATTAAATTCTAGGATTCTGAGCCATACTTTGTTTAAACTAAGACATTCAGAGCCTTTGTCTTGCTTAAATTAATACTTTATTTTTTATTGCTTATTTTTCTCACTCACTGCATGTCCCCTGCCCCAGTAAATACATTTTAGGGCAGGGATTTGTATCCATTTTGTTATTCTCACCACAAAACAGCATTGTAATGGACAACCACAGCTTTAATGAAAACTAATCACCACTTGCTAAATGAATAAATGTATGAACATCTAAGGACAGCATGATCTGGGGTGCCATTTTTTTCATTCTGAACTTCAGGGACTAAATCTGTCAGACACCTCCTTCCCCACGAGGAGATCTCTGCGTGGGGCCCATTGACCAGGTCCCTCCCCCTGCCCTCACCTCTCCTGAAGCTCTGTCCAGGTTTCCTGTGGGGTGCTAACAATCTGGTACTCAAGGGAGGACTTTTGACACACAGTCGTCTCCTCCAAGAAGCCTGCTTCTGCCCCAGCATTCACGTTCCCAGCCGCCTGCTGCTTCCATACCATGGTGCCACTGAACAGGGCAGGCACTTTCACAGCGGCATCTGGAAACAGACAAGGTACCTTAGATTCAGCCAAGGATTCCCTCTGGAACAGCTGGGAAATGGCATGGGCTCGCCCAGCTCTCCCACTCAACTGAGTCTCTCAACCAAGAAGCTAACTCATCAGCCAACATTCTGAGGGTAAATGAGGACATTTGAATCCTGAGGACGTTTGAATCCATCCAGGGCTGGATAACAGGGATACTGCCCTACCCTAAGGAATGATGAGGTCCCTGTGTGGGTGTCTCAGCATGTCTTGCCTGCTGCACCCTTCTCCCTGCACCCTTGTTTTGCAGCCCTTGCCTCCTCTGCCCGTGGATAACAATACCTGGGACCCAAGAACCTGGTTTGAGGATGTGCATGAGGGAGATGCCAAGTGGGATATCAGGTAGTTGCCAAAACAGAGAGCGAGCCTTCTTCCTCCGTATTAGAGAAAACCGATGTATCTTGGTGGTGCTCTCCAAGCATTTGACAGGTCTGAGCTCCTGGTCTCCAATCTCTTTGACCAATTTCTTGATAGCTCTCTCAAACATGGAAGACATGTTGCTAGGGGCAGAGAGAAGGGAAGCACAAAGATCAGATGGGTCTTACAGATGAGATTAAATGAGTGTTCAGGTGTCATTCAGAGAGAGTTAACAGTGACTTGACTGTGCCACAGGCCTTTGCTGTATCTACACAGTGAAGTCACATACATATGCAAATGGTCCTCCTATTACCTGGAACTGGACCTGGGTCTTCCTTAAATAACTGTCCACCAGCATGGTCTTTAGTGAACAGATGAGATACCTAGACCTAAGTCGCTGCTGGGTCAGGGGACCAATAAGCACTTGCTTAACTTGTTGGAAGTGCCAAAGAGGAGATAAATTCTCCTCCACAACCAAATGTACGCACTTCCTTATGCCAGCACCATTCACATCAAGCTGGCCACATTGTACAATGGTCAGTCCTCCTGGAGGACTTACTGGGAGTGTGTGTGAACTCTGTGTTCAGTGCTACAAAGCCCATGTTTTTTAAGATCTTACCGAGTCTTGCTGTGACTAAAACAGAATAAGAGTGTGGCCATCACAAAGGTGGGCATGAGATGGTTAAATAAAAATCTGGACATGTGCATTATTGTGCTAACTGGATCGTGATTCACCAGAAAATTATGAAGTACCTCACTTCCAGGTGTCAGGAGCCTGGTATGGGTAGTCTTCAACCTGTAGTCATCCACCTGTAGTCATCAACCTGGATGGCACTCTTATTCTACTTTTAAACACTCTCCATTTCAAAGAATAACATCAGCAAGATGGCAAAATAGGATCTTTCAGCCCTCATCTCTCCACAGTAATGCCAGTTCTGACAACCACCTTTGAATAAGACTACCTCTGTGGGAGCCTAGAGTCCAGCAGATCAAAACCCCCAGGAATAAATGCATCGAAGAATTAAAGCAGAGTAGTTTTGCTTCCCCACGTCACTCCTCCTCCAATTCATTCAAGATTAACCCCGTGGCCCACACTTCTCCCATGGGGAGTAGAGCACTATGAGCCTGCTCCCCCCATCACCACCCCCCGTAGGACACTCCTAACCCGTGGCCCATGCTTCTCTCATGGAAGAGTGAGTGTCCTCCCATACAGGACACTCCTAGAGGCCTGCTTCTTTTTTGTCCCACCCACAGTGTTGATACAATTTGACAGGGCTGAAAACTCTGAGAGCAGGTAGATGTCACTGATAGATGACTGGGTAGAGAATATGTACATTTACACAGTAGAATATGACTCTGCCATTAAAAAAAAATGAAATCTTGCCATTTGTGTCAACATGAATGAACCTAGAGAACATTATACTAAGTGAAATAAATCAGATAGAAAACGACAAATAACATATAATTTAATTTATATATGGAATCTTAAAATAACACAAAAACAGACCCATAGATACAGAGAATAAGCTGATGGTTGCCAAAGGGAAGGAGGTGAAGATGGGTGAAAAAAGGATGTGTCAAAAACACATCCCTTAATCTTATCTTGTGTGTTGTTACCTAGATTTCTTTTGCATTTGGGAGAATGGTAAGAAGTGCTGATTTGGAGGGAGGGAGGGAGGGTGTCAATCTAAAACAAACCAAAAACATCTCTACCCATTTCTCAAACCTATTCTGAACATTTCTCTCTATATAGTATTGTTATTGCTGTAATTAGCTAGCTAATATCAATAAAGGGAAGGCCAGACAGTATAAACATGGTCATCTGGGCAGCTTCACTCTCCCTAGGGAACCACTCCCTACAGGTCACTGGGGGAAGGGACAGAACAAAGAGGGGATGGGCACATGTGCAGAAGTGGGTGTTGGAGAGGGAAGGGGGTTAGGGAAGTACAGGCCTGTCAGTCTAGCCTGGGAACCATGGATTGGCTAGGAGGTGATCCCATAAGAAGCATGCAAAAGAGTTAATGATTTGGAGAAGCTCCTGGTTAAAATTCCAAAGAGTTCCCTCTCTCATTTGCTCTTGTTCTCTTTCTCTCTCTTGCTGTGGCCCACACTCGACCACGTGCTTGCTTGGACTCTCTTAGTCATGTGGCCTTATGCAGCCCCCTGGCCATGCTATGTTGACCCCACACACAAAATACCCAGCTGGGAACCCAGCTAAGCTAGCCAGGTACTGGACTGGACTTTAACATAGAACATTAATTCTGGGCAAAGGCCTTGATCCTAACCCTGCTGAAGGCAGGATTGGACCTCTTCCATGATGAGACGAAATGGGATCTTGGAGGGGAACCCCCTTAATTTCACATCATCAATAAAGCTCTCCATGAAAGCCCAGCCTCCCATGGGGACCTCGGGAAATTCTCACAGCACTCCAAGAAGCCCACTTCCACCAATAACAGTACCTTCTTTTTTATCCTCTGGTTCTTGGTTACAACTTACCAGTTGTATATTGTCTTGTCTTATAGAGAAAGGCTCCAGTGGGTAGGGCTCCTTCCAATCTCCAGACCGCCTGTCAGACAAAACCCAGAGAACAGAGGAGTGCGACTCTGCTCTTAAGTGTTTTCTTCTCACCAGCAGGTCCCTGACTCAAGGACAATATCCTGTAACAAGAAGCAGATGAAGCCCTCACCTGCTCCAGACCAGGTCTGGGGCTGAGCACTGGATCACGCAGTCTTACCTCTCAAGTCCTTCCCAGCCGAGTGGAGACTGGAATCTGGCAGGATTTCTATATATACCTGAATCTGCCAGGCTGTCCCACAGCACAGTAGATAGGATCGTCCGAAGCAGAGCGTGTCTGTTCCTGACCAGGAGAACAATCTGAGCAAATATGATCTATAGTTTCATTCACGGAAGTTTGTTGAGACAACTTATTTGACCACATGCCACCTTAAACGCACAGAGTAAGATGTGGTCATGTGTCAGCAGGAAAGGAAGAGATACTTACTCTTCAGGAGAGAAGAGGTACATGAAGGATCCTGGGCAGAGCCTTGGTTCAGATGGAATCAATGCTACACCTCCTGTGTGTCACGTACAATCCATCTTACAGCTATCTTTAATGAAGAGAAAGGAGATTTCTTTGTAAAAAGACAAAACAACTTGCCCCAAACCCCAAAATTTACTTTCTAATTATGTGATGATCACTCCTGTGGCCTGATGGGGGAAGGGAAATGCCTGGAAGAGGGAGCCTGTGGGAGCAGGCAATCCCGGCACTGACGCTCAGAAGGGCAGCTGAGGGTGCTTCACACGGCGCTTATCCCCCTTCTTCCATCCACTGTTCATGCCTGTCCCACCCCTGCCCTTCCCACTGGGGAATGGGACACCCATCCCAGGCGCCAGAGGGCTCACAGCTGTGCTTTCTACCGGACCCACCAAACCAAAGAATTCCCCCAAGCTGAATTTACTTCCCAAATTTACATCGTAAAAACAATAGACTCAAATATAAAATTGTGTATATGCATATTCCCCTGTGCCACAGACCAGCACCTGAGAGCTCTGCCCTACTCTGGAACATTCTAAAAGCCAAGGAAATGTGACTCCGATGTTTGGGTCTGAAACTCAAAAAACAAACTGAAACCTGTGGTTTTCCTTTGGGCAGGATACAAAGGTGATTATTCCCCAGTTTCTTGTCCAAGTGGATTTGAAAAATGAAGTCATGGATAAAAGGTGTGTTTGGAAAGGTAGAAATTTATTTGAAACAAGTACAGACTCCCACATGGAGATAGGGTAATAAAGGGGGTGACCCACTAAGCCCCCTTTTCCTAAGGTTTATAAAGGTTGCAGTTTTGTCTTTTGATTCTCCTTTTTTATTGGTCACTAGCAGCTTCAAAGCTCAAACCCCGCATGGAACCCCTTCTTCTTCTCCCCTTCAGTGGTAGAATTCTCTATTCCCTGTGAAAATGTTTTCTTCTTTCCCTCTTTCGTTTTTCTGTTCCTTGTGGCTTTCCCCTATCCTCTGTGAATGGTGTCTTCCTCTCCCCTATCCTGTGCCATCTTTAGTTTTTCGTGGGATGCCAGCTCCAAGTCCCCAACAAATTGTGCCTCCTTTTCCCACGGACCTCCTAATTCCTAAAACTCCCTATGCCTGCCTGTTTTACCCCTAAAAATTCCTTTCATTTTGTGAGTCCAGGGAAGTCTGTTTTTTTCTGTTTGTTTGTTGTTGTTTTGGTTTTTGTGTTTTGTGGTGTTTGTGTGTTTGTTTTTTAATTAGGCTTTGTTTAGCACCTACATCACCATAAGCAGCCACTATCTTTGCTTTCCCAGTTTCCTTTCTCCATCAGGAAGCAGCTCTGACATTCCAGCTGAGGGATATAAACAGGAAACCGGGGGAAGCGAGTGGGTAGCTGCAGCTAAGCATCCCTCGTCCTCCACTGAGAACAGCTGCCAGTGGGAAAGCAACGATCTTGGAAAAGCAGAAGCTCCATATTCCTCCCTGCAGTGTGCAAGCAGCATCCATGCCTCCCTCCTGGCAAGTCTCACACAGGAGTCTTCTGTTTGTGCCCTTGGCACAGGGAAGTGCTTTGTCTCTTGCATAAGAGTAAGCGGTGCCAATTTACTTAAGGGGAGACTGAGGTAGGGTGGCCATTGCCCAGCACGTTTTCTTGAAAATTCTCCACTTGCTCTTTTCACGTTGGCCGTGTTCAGTTTCGTGGACATCTCTCGGCCCCTCCCTGACTCACATGTGCTTCCCCTCTTCCTTCTCTACTTTCTTTCCCCTTTCCTACACCCAAGGCCTTACAAGTTTCAGTCATGTGTTTCTTGGTTTCTGCTCTCCCCTAATCCTTCCTACCCACACTGTTGCATTCCCTCTTCATTTCCTAATACAGAATAATTCTCAGAACCCCACCATGGCTGAGCCAGCCAGTTGGCCAGCTAGTTTCTAGGTTTGGATCTACATCTTTTCTCGATTCCAGTGTTGGGGTATCAAGGTCAGTAAGACAGAGTTCCCAACTCCATGAACGATTAGCTTTAGTGTGAGGACACCAACCATACACCTTCTGAAAATGGAAAACTAAAGAAAACTGGACGTTAAGCTTGTCCTTACACGTTCTGAGTATATGGTGACCCATCTTTCCAGAATTTCTACTCTGGAGGCCTCCAACAGCTGCCCTGATTCACACCACTCATGCTTCCTCCCTCTCACCTCTTGCTTCTTCATCTATCTCACTCCCTACCAACCAGCCCGTTTCAGAATTACTCTTCTGACTCCTTCTGAGTGTCAGAGCTATAGGAAGCCTCATCACACCATTCTTGTAGATGTTGCTCTGCCTTCGCAGACCAGGGTCTTTGCACAGACCAGGGTCTATTTGATTACTTCCAGGGCGAATGCCTGCACCATCCACCATCAACTCTTACCTGGATGATAGCAATCGCCTAACTCGACTTCCTGCTTCTGCCCTGTGTGTCTATTGTTCACACAGCAATCACACCATCTTTTCAAAAGTATATCACATACCTGACCGGGGATCTGACCTCTCCACTACCTGCCAATCCTTCAAGTACAAAGCCATGATAACGATCAACAGCCTGCACACACTTGACTTCACTTTTCAACGAGTTCTCTCTCATTCCAGCTATTCATATGCCAGGAATTTCTTCCTTTGATTAATTCCTCTACCCGAAATCTCTCTCTCCAAATAGCCAGAGTTCACGTTCTTTTGTTTCTGTTTAACAAGTCACTTCTCAGGAAGGCTTTTGCTGTCAACTTGCAAACACGCCATCACATACCTGACTGGGGATCTGACCTCTCCACTACTTGCCAATCCTTCAAGTACAGAGCCATGATAACAATAAACAGCCTGCATGCACTTGACTTCACTTTCCAACGAATTCTCTCTTGTTCCAGCTGTTCATATGCCAGGAATTTCTTCGATTAATTCCTCTATCCGAAATCTCTCTCTCCAAATAGCCAGAGTTCACATTCCTTTGTTTCTGTTTAACAAGTCACTTCTCAGGAAGGCTTTTGCTGTCAAATTGCAAACACGCCATCACCCATTAATTTATAACCCATCTTAACCTTCCTTCCAGGCCTCCCATTGATGACAGTATTGAGGCCTCCCTTAGTTCAAGTTGAGGTGACACACAGGCTTTCCATTTAATCCCCAAATCGGGGTCAGGGTTCAGGGGGGCCCAAAGTCTGGGCAGAGAATCTGCCCAGCCTGAAACTCACCTTCTGCAAAGCGTGTCTCCTCACCATCTGCGAAGTGAAGAGTGTAGGGTGGAGAGGCGCCAGGTCAGCTGAGACAAGGGTATCCCTGCTGGAGCCTCACATCCCGCACCTGCAGCCCCACACTTCTCCTCAGGGCCACGTGTGCCAGCTGTGCTCAGGGTGCCATGGGGACCCTTGCATCAGAATCACCTGGGACATTTGAGGAAACCGAGTCCCTGACCTCACTCTATCTTCTGAATGTCTTCTGAATCAGTATCTAAAAAAGATCCTGGAAGCAGTATTTTATTACTTTAGTTTTCCTATTTATTAAGATATTATTGACATAATATGTAAATTTGAGATATACAATGTGATGATTTCACACACACATATATTATAAAGTGATTACCACAAGTCAACACCTCATCACCTCACAAAAGTGCCCTTTATTCTGTGGTGATAACATTTAAGATAGACATTTGAGCCCTGACTGGTGTAGCTCGGTGCTTAGAGTGTCGGCCCATATACCAAAGGGTTGCAGGTTCAATTTACACATACCTTGGTTGCAGGTTCGATCCCTGGCCCCAGTCGAATGTGGAAAGCAACCAATCAATGTCTCTCTCTTTCCCTCCCTTTCAACCTCTAAAAAATCAATAGAAAAAATATCCTGGGCTGAGAGTAAAATAAAAGACTGACATTCAGTTCTCAAATTAACTTGCTCTTGTCATTAGAGGAGGGTCAGCAAACTTTCTGTAAAGGGCCAGATGGTAAATATTTTCACCTCAGGGCAACATGACCCTGATCATGAGAGTTCCTTCCTACTATTGTGATGCAAAAGTAGCCCAAATGATACACAAACAATTGAGGCTGTGCTCTAGTAAGACTTTATTTATGGACATTAGAATTTGAATCGAATATACTCTACACTTGCCATGAAATGTTCTTTTCCCCCCAACCTTTTAAAAATGTGAAGACGCTTTAGTTCACAGACACAGGCAGTTTGGGCAGGCTGGCCGCAGACTAGCTGGGAACCCTGGTGCAGAGTTAGGGTTCTTCGTCCTCCCCAACACGCAGGCATGTACTGGCTGATGGCGGGCCACAGGGTGATCCTTGTCCCGGTTGTCTTTCTTGTTTAGGCTTGTCCACTAGCATTCACTTGTCCTGCCTAAAATTCAGGGAGGGTGCAAGGTCCTCGGGGCACCAAAGGAACATCACCCCCTTGAAGGGCAATGACATACTGGAGGGGCTAGAGGAGATACCTGTCCAAGTTGCTCTGGCTGCCATAACAAATTACCATGAGTGGCTTAAAAAACAGAATTTATTCTCAGTCCTGGAAGGCAGAGTTTGAGATCAAGGTGTCTGCAGGGTAGGTGCTGAGGCAGAGGGAGAATCCAGCCATTCTGGGTACGTTGGCTTATAGTTGCTAGACACCAGCCACCAACTCCATCTTTACATGGCCTCCTGCTCTATGCCCATGACCCCTTTCTTCCTCTTACAGAGCTGAAATTAAATTTAGGGCCACTCCAACCCAGGATGGTCTTAACTACAAACCTTAGTTTCAGCTGCACAAACTCTTTCCCAATAAGGTCGAATTTGCAGGTTGCAGGTGAGCATACCTTTTGGGGGTTCACAATTTAACCCAGGACAATACTCTCAGAAGGGCACAGAAGGACCTGGAGAATGCTATCCCCAGGGCTGGTCCTGGGAAGATAAGGTGGATGTGAGGGAGGAAGTTGACAGGCTCAGGGCCACCTGACCAGAGCCATGGCATGGGATATGGCGTGCAACAGTCTCAACAGCGAGCGCAGAGGCGGCTGAAATGGGTGAGCACGTGCTGGGCAGTGAGGCTGCCCAGAGCCTCCAGGAGCCGCGTCTACAGTTAACCCTTTTAATGGTGTCAGAGCTTGGACTCTGTCCTCATTAAAGCACCAGCCTGCGTGAACTAGAGAGCCTTTAAGCAGCATCGCCCATCTGCACATTCACCAAGTAACTTTAGGGCCTTGAACGACAAGCATGCTTGTTTTCTCCCACATGCGGGATCAGGGCCTTCAGCCCCTCCTGGAAGCCCCTCAGGCTCGCTCCCTTCCCAGCAAGAAGGCTCTTCTTCCCCCTCTGCATCCTGCTGCACCCTCGCTCCTGGGGAACCAGACCACGCAAGAGTGGGCGTCCTTCAGTTACTCCATCCACACGAGGGAAGCAGGGTAGCAGTCCATCACCGCTGGTCTTACTGCCCTCGGCAAGCTTAGGAAAGCAATGGAAATGGAGTGCACACAGACAATACTAAAGAAAAATGCTACTCTCAGACCCAGCTCTCTCCTAAAAGAAGAGAGATTGTGTAATGTCTACGTGCATTTTGTAAAGATACGCAATAGGGGAGCCCTGGACGCCTAAAACCAAATCTCAGGAAACCAGGCCACACTTAGAAAAATGAAAGCTGACTTTTATTTTATCTTCAACAGCCATTCTTTAAACATGAACATGCATACGTAATACTCTACGCACACATCACAGTTTTAACGTTAGTTAATAAAGGTTAAACACACAACATACATCCTTACAAAAAGGTCAAAATGCAAACTTAAAACTTTAAACAACAGTCTTACTAATTTAAAAAAAGTTTTTGTGTTGGGTACCATCTGTACAACACGATTAATTTAAACATTTTCATTTGGCTGCACATGGAAAAAGCGGCAGTAGAAAATAAAGTCATTGAGGGTTTTAAATAGCAGAGTAGGCAGTTTCGCCATGCAGGAGAAGCAATATTAAATATTAGTTTTCAAAAAAAATCCACATTTAAAAATATTTAGTTCAAGTCACAGAATTTCTCTCAGTGGAGACCCCAATGCGATGCATGATTAGCTGCCTCAGGCGGCCTGTCTGAAAGGCAACCCCTCCAGGGTATAGCTTGACAGATTTTGGCACAGAAAAGAAGTCTTAAGAACAAGAACATGATTAAAAAAGAGGGCAGAGGGACAGAGGAAGAAATAAAGCGGGAGTAAATGAGAGAGTAATTGCAATCACTAAAAACTGCATCCGCGGTCACCGCAGGCGCTCGCTCCGGAGTGTCATTGCAGCATGGATTTGATTTGCTTGGAGGTAGTCTCATCGTTCAAATGTTTTGTTGTGTACCTAACGGGAAAAACACCCATGTAGGGAGTTAGAAAACAGACAGCACTGGCATCCGGCTCTATGAGAAGCCGAGCGACTGGCCAGGCCACCTTCTTTGTTGGGCCTTTCCCCCCAGCGTCAGCGGGCTCAGGCCCCGCGCTGTCCTCCCATGGCCTTCCAGACGCAGAGCCGCAGCTGGGAAACGGCTAGAACTGCCCTGTTGGGAAGATCTGGTTAAATTCTCAAGTAAACAATTGACTGTAACTTCTCACTCAGAGGAAAATTATTGTTCTAACTCGGGTTGAAAAATTGTAGCCTCTGAGCCAAATCCAACCTACTACCTATTTTTGTATGGCCTGTGAGCTGAGCATATTCTTACATTTCTAGGTGGTTGGGGTGGGGTGGGGGTGAATAAAAATAGAAGTAATACTTCATGTGAACATGGAAATCATACAAACTGAGTTTTCAGTTTTACTGGAACACAACCAGATGGAGTCACGTCAGCATGGCCTGTGGCTACCTTCTCACTACGCAGAGCTGAGGAGCTGGGACAGGGCCACGTGGCCCACAGAACTTAGATCCCCACTTCCTCGCTCCCGCACAGCGAGGGCTGCGGCCCTGCTCCCCGCACTCATCTTCAGGACAGTTCTACCTGCCACATCCATGTCTCAGTTCTCCAGGCACATTATTTCCAGGCAGGGCTATTTTGCTCTAAGTTTATAAATACAAATTAAGAATCTAAAAAGAATCACTAAAAGTATTTTAAGAGAAGATTCACGACAGGATTCCTGTAAGAGCAGAAATCCAATAAGCAAGCCTACTATGTGCCAGGTGGCTCCAGGAGCTCACAAGCGAGCAGAGGAAGAGCGATGGTAAGATACCTGCAGGCAGAAGGGTGAGCTGGCTGCAAAGGAGGGAAGCCCGAGCCGGGACCGCCCAGCTCACCCAGAGGCTGCGGGCCCAGGGAGAAATGTGGAGGTTATTGGTGAGGGCAGTGAGGGCCAGGGCAGGATACGAAGCAGGGGAGCGATGTGTGACTTCACAGATGTTCTGAAAGGGCCGCTCTGGCGCCGAGGGAGCAGAAGGAGCAGCAGAGGGACCAACCAGGGTGCTATTACGCGGTCCAGGTGACCCAAGCTCGGACCAGACGAGGAGCAATGCAAACAGGCTCGCAAGGCTCGAACGTGGGCTATGTTGTGGAGATAGCTCAGGCAGAACTTACTCTCTATCAACTTAGCTCACAAGAATCTCACATAGGAATATATCATTATAAATAGGTATATACACTCTCTCTCTGAATTTAAGAAATTTAAACTCTATTCCTATTAGGTTCATTTCAAATCAATTTAAAAATTAAAGACATATCTGCACTCAAGTAAATGCATAGAGAAGTAGAGACAAATATATGCTTACTAGGTAGCTGAAGCAAAATTACCAAAAAGGAGAACTTTACGTTCCTAACGTGAACATTTGCGTTCACAGCCTTGTGCTCCGCACTCTCTGAAGCCCGTTCTTAATGCACTTTCCGACCCACATGTGCAGGGACATATACCCACCTGAGAGCATTGAGAAGACCTTCTACACTATTAGGAGGCTGGTCCTTAAGAACTTTGATACAACCTTTCATCTAAGGAGAAAACAGAAATGGTGAAACATTTTTTCCATCTAACATGACTTTCAAAACAGTAATGCTTACACTAGCACCACAACCACAGAACTCACACTACAAATGGAATTACTTTTAAACAGAGAAAAATACCCAAGTCTTATTATTTTCCGTTTGTCAAATAAAACTTTTTAAGAACCAACTCAGTCAACCATACTAATGAGAAACCCGGTTGAGTTAGGGGAGGACTTCCTAAAGGTGCTGAGTGGCCTTTTAGAGGGTGACTCTCTCTCTCTCTCTCTCTCTCTCTCTCTCTCTCTCTCTCTCTCTCTCTCTCTCTCTCTCTCTCTCTCGGAAAGAAGGCGCTCTCCAGATAGACACGCCATGGTGCTATGGGCTCAAAATCCCCAAATCCTGCTCACCATTCACGAGCCATTGTATTATTTCATTTCCTTAAACTTCCATTCTCTTAGGAGTATTTTCGGAAAGATTGAGTGAAAATTCCTGGGACACAGTAATCACTAACAAATGAACTCACTTCTCTTTCCACATGATGGGCACTAATGCAGGCAGTCAGCAATCCAGACAGGAGTGCTGAGAGCCTGCCCCGCTGGGAAAGGAACCCAGAAGACAATTTCCAGCCAGCCCTGGTTATAATTCTGACGAACAGTTGAGAGGGCGAGAAGTTACAGAACAGAGAAACCCGGCCAGAGCCAAAGATTACTAGGACTGCAGGAGGGAAAAAGTGTGGTCTTCACCTGTATTCGCTGGAGCACTTTGACTGGTGCTTCACATACAGGTGGGCAAAATAGGCCTACAATTGTCCCCATGGAAAATAATGCAATTAGCCGAAACCGGTTTGGCTCAGTGGATAGAGCGTGGGCCTGCAGACTGAAAGGTCCTGGGTTCGATTCCGGTCAAGGGCATGTACAATGGTTGTTGGCACATCCCCAGTAGGGGGTGTGCAAGAGGCAGCTGATTGGTGATTCTCTCTCATCGATGTTTCCAACTCTCTATCCCTCTCTCTTCCTCTCTATAAAATATCAATAAAAAATATATTTAAAAAAGAAAAAAGAAAATAATGCAATTAGCTAATAATTAATGCAAGAATAAACTCTGTTTTGTGTACTTATAAAGCTATATTTACTTTTACCCTACCCTGCATGTTTAGATATAAATCTTTTGTTTGAAATGGCCTTTGGTCAAACAAATGAAAGGATACAATACAATTTTTTCTTATGTCGGATTATTTATATTGCCCAATATGCAGGAGTGTGAGGTCTCCCTACAAGGACATGCTCTAAACGACAACACTCCTCCGGTCATTCTCCCGCCTGTACCCAGGCTGGAGGAACACTGCCGGGGGAGGCCAACGGCCAGCACATCACAGACTGGCAGCCTGGGCTCCGTGACGGTGCCGCCTGCCGGCTCTTCACGTCAAACAGCCTCCGGCTTTTATTATGGGAATTACATAAAACAAGGTCACTTACATCAATTTTTGAGGTTTTAGCAAATGCTCCCACTGGATGTACATGGTCATAGAGTATGATGACGCCCACCATTACCCTCAAGCAGAACGACACGGTCTCTTCGTTTGTAAACCTGCTTCTGTATTCCCTGGAGGGCAGAGAGGACACGATGCATGAGGCTCGTCACAAACGAATGCGCTGATTCAACTCTCAAGCTGATGCTGGAAGACACACTGTTAATCTGAGAGGTGCTAACACAAAGCCACCCCCCCTCTCCCCTGTAATGGCACTCCCAGCCAGGGGTGCGGGGCAGTCAACACTTACCTCCCTCTATGTACCTGAGTATACTGCCCTTGGTCTCTCTATGCACCTGAGTATACTATGTTAGCAGAGATCAGACCATTTTTGAGAAACCCAAAGTGAAACCCCAAGTGAAAGTTTGCAAATAATTGCTATCACCAATGTGATAAAAAAAAAAAAAATAATAATAATTTTAAATAAAAGTCACCAGCTTAACTGAGCGAGTGTGTCTGGGCTGATTTACCTAAACACATTACTGTATTAATAGATTTTAATTCCCTAAAATGTGATTGTATTATTCTCTCATCTGTCTATATAAAAGGCCTCCTGCCCCAGCAGAAAGAGTTCGGGCCCGGGATGAAGGGTCCGGCACCTGTGGGGCCAGTCACTGTGCACAAGTGCCTTCACTCCCCAGGCCTCACTCTCCTGAGGGAGGAGAGGAAGGAGGGGGAATAGCCGCCCTCATGCTTCCTAAGGTCTCCTGAGAGGCGGGGTACACAATAGTACTGTGGAAAACGCAAAGCTCCACAAAAGCCCCGGTTATGGAGTAAGACCATATATTTAGGAGCGCAGGATGGAGTCTTTCTGCCTACGACAGCATGCTGCAGCCATCCTGAAAGGCGTGAGAGGAGAACCCAGGAGGGGACTCAGGCGAGTGGTGAAAAAATGAAGACTGAGGACTCATACAGAGGAAAGGGGGTGAGCAGAAGAATAAGGAGAGAATGTTTATAAAAACCAAAATGGAAAGAGCGTTAAAACTCCTCCTCTTTCCCCCAAAGCTCCACAAAATCTCCATTAGGAAGAGTCTCAGTTAGTCTGGCTGGTCTCAGGCACCTGAAAAGCAGCTAGATTAACAGTTAACCAGAAGTTCCATGAAGCTGCCAAGTTATTTTAATTTTGCTCACATATTACATTGGTTACCTGGAATTGCCTTAATTTCCACCTTACAATTACGACATGTTCCCATCTGGGCAACCATTCCACAGGATTATGTAAGTGAGAGGCCGGCCCACACGATACTCACGGCGTTTCCAGCATGACTCTGCACACGCTGGCCATGGTGCTCAGACAGTCCGTGGTGTTTTCTATGGGTAAGTTCTTATTCTGTCAGGGTGCACGGAGAACAGAGAGTGAAAGTGAATTAGTATATAGGTGTATATATACAGCTAAAACCTAGCATAACATGAAAAATTGGCAACTTTAATATTTGGTTCCTACTCTTCATTTTGACAAAAATGCACTAGATCCTAGGTACTGCTCTCAGCTCTGGGGATAGAGTCACCAGCGAGTCTCCAAGAGGCATACCCTCAGGCTGGGGAAACAGCACAGCACACAGACGGGCCTGGAGGCCAGGACTGTGTGGCTTTCATCTCAAGGGAACTGGGAAGTCATTGGAAACATGCTGAGCAGAGGAAGGAAATGAGGCCTCTGTTTTAAGATTTGGCTGCTCTTTGGAGAAAGGACTACCAGGGGCCAGAGTGGAATAAGAACAGTCACAACAGTCATCCAGGTGAGAGGGAGTGGGCTCATGTGGAGAGAAAGTAAGAGAGGGGTTCAGTTTTCAGATTCAGCATTTATACTGGAGCCAGTAAGACTGTCTGATGGGGTGGGCAGAGAGGTTAAGATAAAGAAAGGAATTTAGCCATAGCTATTTGTATAGGCAGACCATCAATAAGCCATAGTTATTTGTACAGGCGGACCTCGGAGATATTGCGGGTTCGGTTCCAGACAACCACAATAAAGCGAGTAGTACTCTTGGCGGATGGGAGGTCTTGCCTTCAATTTGTAAAGAATGCAACATTTGTGAAGTGCAGTAAGGTGAAGCATAATAAAACAAGATGTGCCTTTACAGTGGTACTCTTTTTTAAAAATAAGTGTGTTTATTGATTTTAGAGAGAAAAGGGAGAGGTAGAAGAATCAATGGGAGAGAATCAACATCAATCAGTTGCCTCCTGCACACCCTCTAGCAGGAATCAAGCCCTCAACCTGGGCATATGCCCTGACCGGGAATTGAACCAGTGACCTCTTGGTGGGTTGGTCGACCCTCAACCAGCGCAATACCAGCTTGGCTACAGTGGTACTCTCAACTGAGACAGGAGAGACTGGGCCAAGGGCAGGGTTGGTGAAAAATCAAGACTTTGGTTTGGTCACAATATGACTGGGGAGTCAACCATACACCCAGAGGGAGGCTGCAAACAGGTGGGTCCTTGCACACACGTGGGCCTCGGGGGCTTAGAGCTGCTATTCCCAGTCTCGGGACGTGCTGGGTCATCGTGTGCGCAGACAGGCAGAGCAGCACCACAGAGAAACCTCCCGGCAATGCTCACCTCTGATACAAACTTTGTTGTGGCATCACTTAAGGTCTTCAGCATCGGCGTTGCCTCAGCATAAAACAAAGACATTCGATTTGCCAGCTCATTGTTTACTTCATTTTCTCCTTCTGCCTGCATGGAAAGTAAGAGCACTGGCCATCAGCTCAGAGATGATTATACAGGGTCTCATGCTTGCTAAATTAGTCTAATAAATACTCAAACTATATTTAGACCTTCAAGTAGTTTTCAAAAATAAAGATTAAAAAGGACAATAAACTTTTTATAAAAGATAACCTCTTTAAAAAATATGAAGTGGAATAAAAGTAGGTTTACAGTTGTTCGTATGAGTAAAAAACACACTAAGAGTAATGCAATAAGTTCTGTTTTGCATACTCACATACTTTGCCCCACCCTGCATTTTAAATATTAAGCAATGGAAGAGTTCACTGACAGGCTGCCTCTGGGTACCAGGATCACTCTACATGCTGTGGAGACGAGAGGGTGATTATGACGGGAGGGTGACTATGACGTCACACCCTGCCCCTCAGGGAACACACGCACCCACACTAGCACGGAGAGGGTGAGGCTAAGTTGGGCTGGAAGAAACTAAAATGGACTCGTGGGCGGGCTGGGCTTTGGAGGTGATGCTGGGCAGGTTCACCCCGTCGGTGGAGGGGAAGAGCATGCTCGCTAATGACGTGGAAGTCTAATTCCACGTAACTCGATGTGTTCCGGGTACTAAGAGGCAGCAACAGTGGAAGACAGGCTGGGAAGGAAGGTGGGGTGGGACGGAGAGGGCGTTAAATGCTGCCTAACATCTTGTCTGCGCTGGTGAACCAGGTAAAACATCAGAGAAAAGGAATGACAACATCCGGGTCATAAAGCAAGCAAGCTGATGACCGTGGGCAGGTGTCCCATGAAAGAAGACCACCGGTCAATGAGCTCTCCGGCTACAGAACGACCGCGGAAAGGAGCGCACGAGGGGCTTCCTTCCACCTGGGATGCAGTCAGCAGGTGACACGGGGAAGCCCTTGGAGAGACTCCTCACTCGACAAGGACCGGATTGACTTAAAACTGTTGATGTCGAACGACAGGTCAAGGTGACTGGTGTCTCTGGCCCTGAGTGACGGCTCTCACAGAGCACTGAGTGTGGTGCTGTTACTGTATTTGCAGTCTCACAGCAGCAACTGGGCTTCGCAAAATCTAACCAATGCAAGGCACAGCTGCTTCTTCCCCCAACCCAGGACCTGTCTTAGGAGCAACCACCTCACAAAACACTCATCAATGAAGAAGAACAAGAATGGTGTCCTTTGGTGTTTTTAACCTCTGATGCCACTCAGCATCTTTTTTTTTTTTTTTTAAATATATTTTATTGATTTTGTACAGAGAGGAAGGGAGAGAGATAGAGTTAGAAACATCGATGAGAGAGAGTCATCGATTAGCTGCCTCTTGCACACCCCCTACTGGGGATATGCCTGCAACCAAGGTACATGCCCTTGACCAGAATCGAACCCGGGTCCTTCAGTCCCCAAGCTGACGCTCTATCCATTGAGCCAAACCAGTCTCAGCCACTCAGCATCTTTACATACATTTATGCAGTATTCTTTATTAAACCATCTACTAGAGGCCAGGGCTGATCCTAGAAATTTCCCTATTTTCCACACAAGGTAGGTCCTCAATATATCGAGAAAAATGTGATATTTCTTTACATTTAAGGTTTTCCTCATGGCAGACCTCTGACTCCTCGGCAGCAGAAAGGGTATGAAACAGCTAAGAGGAGGAGGAGTCCAGAGGCTCACGCGCCTGAAGCAGCAGCAGTGCTCTGCTAGGCAGGAGCAGGCGCAGAAGCCACTCGCTCAGCCAGCCAGACCCCCGCCACACCCTCCCAGACCGGTTCCTCCCCCGAGTCTTCCATTCGATGAATAGGGGGACAAAACGCTCAAATCCACCAACTCACAAATTATATCGTTAAAATGAGACTACACAGAGAAATCCGGCATCAATGTCACATAGACAAAAAATGTTATTGTAGTCGTAGAAACTTAAGAGAACAAGGTGTCAAAATATGGTTTCCTACATTTTGCTCTTTCTTCCCACACCTGTGGTGGCCCACATCTTACTCACTAGCTTTAATTTTATCAGAATGAATAAGCAAATGAACAAATAAAAGAAGGACTTGTACTAACCGAGAGATGAGTTATTATTACCACCCCTAATTCAAAGTGTTAACTTACTGGAACGTTATTAATCCGCATTCGACTCAATGTTCTTCTATAATAGCTGAAATCATTCTGTATGGCAGGGTTTGTCATCTAAAGAAGACATTGTGAAAGAAAAATGGAGTAGATAATAAATGATACTGAAAAAATTAAGTGAAAATCTACTAAATACACTTTTAACTAGCGAAGTAGCATTCCCAATTTGTAGTAACACTTTTAACAAATAAAACTGGTATCATCAAGATGGCTTTTTTTTTTTTTTTTTTTTGGTGTGTGAACAAGTAAATCATGTTCACAATGCACTCAGTCCCCACTGGACATTCAAAATGTACAGACTGTTTTTAGTCATGGTAAGTTTCCCATCTTTTTCTCAATAATTTCACTTAATATACTAAAAGGTGCTTTGCCAAAACAGGATTTCCAAAAGACAAAAACAAGAAAAACTCTGCAGGCACTTGCTTTGGAATTACACCAGAAGCAAGCATACATGGTCAACAGGACAATCTCCAGACTGACTAAAATTGTGTGTGTGAATCATCTGTGCTGTAAGTGTTAAATAAAAGAGAACAGCTGTCTGAGATGCAATCACAGAAGGCTGAAGTTAGGAATCCTGCTCTTCCATTTTACCAGGCAAGGCATCCGAGGCCCTGGGAAGTCACAGGGCCTGCTCCCAGCTGGCTGTTGTGCGGGGCCCAACGTGGAAGTCAGTCTCCTGCTGGGAGAGCTAGTGCTTGCTTCTACACATACTCTTCCAACAATGGAGGGAGGCAGACAGGTAGGTACATAGATAGGTAAACTGAGGGTTAACATTTTATATAAAAGAAAACTGAGATAAACGAGATGAGCAGAAAGAAAAAAATATATCAGAAAAGGTCAATATTCTTTCAGATATCTTTTTTAAACGAAGTTAAGTGAAGGCTGAATATTGGGTGATTTGCTATGCATGTATCAAAAGACCTGCCATGACTTTTATACCCAGTTTCCTTTTTGCTAAGGACATCAGACATCATTTAAGCACATTTCAGCTAGGTAGGTCTCCACACGTCCCTCCTGGTGCTCTATGAGGGACGCATGCTTTCAGATAGTCAAGGCCAGCCGGAATCCTACCTTAAGTTCATCAAACCGGAGTGTGAAGTGAAGGATTTCTGCGAACTGCTTAGCGAGAGCCTGCTCTCGCTCTAGGTGCTGGGTGGGAGAGTATGGGGTACTCGTCAAGGCTCCCAGAAGGCCTCTTAATGCTGCTTCTAAAGGAAAAAGAGAAAAGATTTAAATGTTGTTTGTATCTCCTGGTATTTGTTAATTAGAAAGTGAACAATTTATAAATGTTATGATTTCAAATTCCATGAAAGTATTATAAGTTCCCTTTAAAATCCAGATCATCTAAATACAATCATGCAAACTGATACTATTTATTAGAATAAAAACCTTAGAGAGACTAATTCAGTTTTATAATCTATAAACTCAAATTCAAAGTAATGCAAAATGTAACCTTTTACAAAATGTAAAAGGGTCAGAGAGTGCCCTTCTACTACATTTATCAATCTGCAGTGTTGACTGTTATGAAATAGTCATTGTTACCCACAGCCAAGTAACATCTACAGTGGCCCTATGTCCAAACGGTCAAATCTGTCCATGGCTATGAACGAAGCCAACTTCTCATACTTTGAATTTGCTGCTTATTTATAAACAGAAACTGCTTTCTTTCAGTTACTAAAGGAAACAAAATATTTTGATTTAATAATTAGCTTTCTGAGTTTAAAAAAAAATGGTCCCTTTAAAATAAGTGCTCCTTTTGGAATGCCAAGTTAATCAATATTGTGTTTAAAAATGTAAATTGTGGCATCTCATTCAAAAAAAGTTATAGAAATCACACTAACTTAGTTACAGATTACAGAATCAAAAAACGCTAGATTCTATTCAGAAAAAAAACAGCTTAGAGTCAGATGGTGATCGGAAGTTAATAAGTGTCAGGTCAATAAGCAAATATTTCTTCTTTTTTTTAAATATATTATATTTTATTGATTTTTAACAGAGAGAAAGGGAGAGAGAAAGAGAGCTAGAAACGTCGATGAGAGAGAAACATCAACCAGCTGCCTCTTGCACACCCCCTACCGGGGATGTGCCCGCAACCAAGGTACATGCCCTTGACCGGAATCGAACCTGGGACCTTTCAGTCCACAGACCGACGCTCTACCACTGAGCCAAACTGGCTTCGGCAGCAAATATTTCTTAATGATAATAAATTTATGTTAGATCATCAACCCTTAACTTAAAAAAATATCCGCTCTCCTATTGATGAAGACTTAATGGTGAACCAACACCCATCCAGTGAGCTTAACCCAGTCTCTCATTTAACTTTCAGCATCAATTATGACATGGGTATCCTGTGGATAAACTGAGTTTCAAAGAGATTAGACCCCAAGGGTGCAGCTAGCAAATGCCAGGTGTTTCTGACTCTACAGGCCACTTTCCACCATATTAAGCTGTCTCTCAAATAAAGCAGCATTCTGCCTGGCCGCCTGTAACTTCATGAAATATTAATCTGATTACTACCAGCCATACTGGTAGTAATGTGTCTTACTTATGTGTCTTTTATGTGCCAGATACTGGGCTAGACACTACATAGACATTATCTGTCATCCACCCAATAACTCCAAATTGCAGATAATATCCTTTTATAAAAGTCAAAAAACATATTGACTGCCTACTATGTGCCAGGCACTGGGGAAACAGAGATGAAGGTATAGTCAGCTCCCTATGGCCACTGGAGCCTGGTTATACAGAGAAGAAAGAGAAATTATTACATTTGTGATGTGTGTTAAGAAGAAATGCACGGTATTACGGAAAGATATAAAATAGGACCTCATCTAGCTGAAGTTCAGAAAAGACCTCCCTGAGTAAGTGACAGCTGAGCTGAGAATGGATTGTCCACTAAGGATGAGGGAGAGTGTGCAGACAGGGCTGGGGCCAGAGCATGACACAGTACACTGCAATACCAATACCGGTGGATAGAGCACGTGGAGGAGATTAAAACAATCTCTCTCTGTATAAAAGGTCAATATGCTAAGTGTCCCTCCAACCATCAGTCCACAGGCCAATGCTCTATCCACTGAGCCAAACCAGTTAGGGCGAGGTGAAAACATTTCACACTTCAACCAAATGTCTGGGAAGTGTTTTCCCATGCCTCATCTCATTTGATCCTCACAGAAGTCCTGGAGTATAGATAGATAGAGACTTGGTAGAATCCTATTTTCTTTTCATTAGCTGGAAAACGGAATTTAGAAAGTTTAGAAACTTGACCCGACTGAAGAGAAGAAATGGTGGACCTGACTTCAGGTTCTCTCACTGCTTAATTCTAAGTCCAATAGATAGCAGTCTACAGTTAAATATTTCACCTTTGTTCTCCCTGCATCAACTACAATAATAATCTGTTTTGTGTTGATATTTACTGCTGTGTTGCTGACAATGACCTGAAAGAGAAGTTGGGGTGCTTCACTGGGCTGGAAAAACTTTAGCTACATCAGAAAGCAAGTCTAATTAAACAAGTTTATATGTATAAAGCGCTCGCTGGTGACAATCGCACACATGTGTTTCCATCTGTCACTGTGGAAAGTGAATTTGGTTGACACTTCTATTATGGAGAAAAGGTAAATAGCACTATTAAAATATTTCTTCTAATTAATTTCCTTTCATTGTGCACTGGGCCTCTAGTATGCACATAATGTGTGTGCCATATGAGCACCCTGGCCTTGTCATTCTAATATCCCTGGAAAAACTATGTAAACAGGGGCATTACAGATTAGCATTTACATTCACCATCTCACCTGCACGGTGGAGAATGGATTGTAGGCCTATGGCTGGCTCCTAGAGCTGCAATGTGGATGTGAAAAATCAATTAAGAGGAATAAGTTTTGGCTACTCTGAAAAATGGTTTATTTCTCCCACGATTTATTCTGTGTACCAGCATTAATGTTAGTAGAAAGCAAAATTTGGGAGAGATGAGAGCAGGAAAGAACACTTAAGAAAACACACCCACCAATACTATTTAAAAAAAACTGGACTGTTACAAAAATTTTTGCATTTATTTACTAGATTTTATAAAGTCTCGGGATTAATTTCAGCATTCAAAGCACTCTACCACTCTGGTAGACAGGAGACATTGCCCTCTAGCGGTGGACTCAAGTATATGACTAAGTTGAGTTGGCCAATGAACTTAAGAGAACTTCTATGAATGGCTGAAGCTCAGGACCAAGAAGAAAATTCCCCTTGAGAGACAAGAGCCATTTATTCTCACCAACTGCCATCCACCTACTATCAAAGACCAGTCGCTGAATCCTCAGAAGAGAACCCAAAGGATGTGGTCTGGAGGGGGATTTAGGACAGCCAAGAGACATGACCATAATTATTGTGGGCACTTGGGGACCTTTTAATAGATTTTGGTACATTTAGCCCTGTGACAAGGACTCAATGTGCTGCATAAACTCACTCATTATGACCCTTGGAGGTGGTCTCTGTAATAAGTCCCTGAACAGGAGGGAGAAAGACTGAGAACAGACAACACTGTTTGTCTACTGTCTAATCATGTAACCTCCCTCATATTATGTCTCAACCAGGAAGGCCTGAGACCAACAACCAAGGACAGGGTGTTTCCCAGGCCAGCAAGAGTAAGGGCTATGGACAAAGCTAAGTATCTTCCAGATTATTCAGTGACCCCTTTCCTGTCCCTCCATAAATAAGCCGCAAGGAATCGAGGTCCCTCTTCTGGAATGCACCCTGTGGTTATCTGCAGTGCGCAGGCCAAGCCACCCTCTCCTTGAGATTGCAGGATTCTGAAGGACCATGCTCATTTGATGCTGGTGTGGTGCTCTGTGTGCTGTCTGTGGTGTTTATCCTCATCTCTGGCTCAACAGTGAGGCAGGAAGAGAAGAGACTAGAGCAGTTTAGTGGACATAAAGCAGAAGACGCAACAGACTGGAGGACCAGACAGGATACTAAAGTTCAGAGAATTTAAACCAAGATGTGGCCAAGACCACACAGCTAACAAACCAGAATTCAAACATAGGCCATTATGCCACCAAAGCCTAAAATCCATTTATTTCTTCTCCTAAATACCCAACACACATTTGACATAGCAGATGTGTATGTTCATTAATGTATCACTCATTCAACAAGCACTGAGTTCCTATCACATGCAAGCAAAGATATGCATCCTGTAAGCAAAAACTGGAAGCATTGCTAGTCAGGTTACTGGACAAGACATGAGGAGTAAGCCATCAGGTCTTAAATGCATACAATGCTCCTGACTTTACCGATGCCCCAGAGTACCATGATGAAGACTCAAGGCTTCCAGGTGACAGCATGGACACTGACGCTCTTTGCTACTTATTACCTGTGTTACCACATGCCTCTGCTGAAACGGAACATAGCACCCATGATGGAACCATACCAGGAGCCCGATTCAATTCCTGGTATGATAAAACGACTGGTTTGGCCGATTTTATAATTGTCCTTTCTTCGTTGGTAAATGCTGAGACTAGAGTGAGCCTTAGTAAGACGACAGCACCATCTAAAGCAATTCAACTAAAAGTGCAGCCAGAAACCAGAGGCACAAAAAACTCTCTAAATATGAAGGAGTCCTGACCACCATGATTACAAGGCCAAGGCCAGTGGTCTGAAGTTACCGAGCTACAGACGATAGAGATATTTGACTGAAAGGCAAATAGCATAAAAAAGCTGACTGCAGTGCTTAGGAAAATAAATTACAATTCTTATCTTTAGTTAGAAAAGGATAATTTACCAAATACTTCTATCTCAACCAATATTTGTCTTCACGCTTAACAGTGCATACTGTATCTAAGAAAAATAGCAATTCTCTTATTTTTTTAAAAAATAGTTGTGTTTTTTTTAAAAAAAAGAACTTAAACTTTAAAGGAAAAGTTGCAAACACAAATGGCCAAGAACCTAACATAAAAGAATATGAAAAGCAAGATATAAAAACCAGGAAGCCTTGGAAACCTACTAAACTAGAAAGCAGATGCTCTAAGTAATAACAGAGATGCTTGTCACTTAGCTCTGGGCAACTGACATGCAGATGAACTGACCAACTGGCACTTAAACTACTGATTTCATCAAATAACTGAAAACTTAACACCAAAACACAAACAGTTAGCAAGTTTTAAACCTGGCATCTGATGAGGAATTTTTTTAAAACTAGGGCCCCAAGAAATCACATCTCAGGCCTAAACTTAGTGCATGAGCCCCCAGGTTGACTCTTACCTTACTGCATGGTTTCCTACCAAATTTATTTAAAACATATAACATCTTTATGAGATTCAAAACTACATAAAACGTGTCAAAAACTTCTATTTACATTTTTCAAATTTCAGATATACCTATCCTGCTCCTCCAGTATGTCCACAATGTCACACAGAAAGCCCTTCCAATGTACAGCTTTCAAATTAACCAGCAGCTCGATGTCTGGATCTTACTTTGACCGCTTCTCCAAGGAAGGGAATCGCAACTGTTTACTGGTTGTAGTGAAGGCACAGTTTGGGTCTCACAGTGGCTTTTCCTATTGGCTCCCTAGTTCTCAACCTGCAGTTTTAGATCCATGAACTAACTGATCCTAATCAGCAATGATTTTAAGAACATCAAAATCTAATTATTGCAGGGCCTACGGATTAACTCCTGCATGTGGGAGAGAGGGTTTGCTGGAGAGGACTTCTACCAAGTGGTTTCTCTCGTTAGGACCCTTTAGACTGCAATGAAAGCAGAGCTTGCCTTATGGAAGTGCTAATGTGTCGAGGGCAACAGTCTAAATAAAGACCTAGGTTTATGCTATAATATCCACAGTCTAACGAACTTGCTTCACATATATAGCACATTAATATAGCAATGTGAACATAAAATACTCTAAATTACTTCTGGTGGCACCAATAAATGCATTTTTCACTAGGGAAGTTATCATTACAAAACTTTCAACTTACCTAACCTCTGAGAAAATTCATAAAATTTCTTTAATTTGCCTACTAGCGGGACAACCGCACCCCATGCCTTCTCTTGTAACTTCTCATCCGCTGGATGCTGGATGGCCTTCAAAATCGAAAGGGGAAAAAAAAAAGTTGAGTTCTAAAAGTCCAGGAGCATTCTTCTTACATTAAAATGTATGTCTTAACAAATATTGGAAACCCTGGTACAATCTATAAAATACAGAACAATGGACACAGGAATGCTGAGAGAGGGCCTTCCCAACTCCCTGGATACTTAACCCTATCATACACACTTTTAGTTATCCTTGCAATGGGCATGGAGATAATGGAATAGGATGACACAATGCATGCTGGTTAAATATATTACGCCTTGATACCTTTTAGAGCCACAAAAAGAAACCATTTATATTATTTTGCATATCACAGACAGGCTTTCTTAGCAGTACTCTTTCAAAAAAAAATTTTAGCAGAATAAAAAGAAACCAGGAAGTTAGGTAATCAATGAAATAAGATGCCAACTGTGGAATAGGGTATGAAACTTTGAATAATTCAAATTCCAGGGTCCAAAGTAGTTTAAAGACTTAGCAAATTAAGAACCCAAATCAACCTGAAAGATGGGATTCAGAAATTGTCACACTTACTTCCTATAACTAAAGTATTATTCTGGAATCCAAGTTTTCTCGGGTTTTCCCGAATAAGAAGATAAAAACTAGTTTCAAATCTGAAAGGAGAGGAAATAGACCACAATCTAAAGATTCTAATATGACGTGCATATGCCTTTCTCTATGCCGTCTTTCAAACCACTAAGCAATTTTCTATTAATTTAGAGGGTTCTTCCCAAAGAAATGTATTTTCTTATTTGTATCTTTATTTTGCTTATAGATGCTTTATTAACCCTTTATGAAACTTAATGTCTTTTTCAACAACCTGGTTTGCTTTCTCTGACATCTTCCAACAAGCCAAACACACCATCGGAAAGCTGAAACTCACACCCACGGCGGAGCGTGGGGGCTACTCATAAACATGATGTTTACATTTTCCCAAGATGCTAGCACTCTAACTCTGTCTACACAAAACCAAAAAACAGGAATGTAAACAAAAATTGAAACCAGGTAAATTTAAAAGAAGCTCTGAATAAATTAGCTACGAACTAAATGGGCTATATATTATTTAAGCAATTTGCTTTATAAGCTTGCCACTATATGTAAATGTTCTTGATTGTTTAACATAAAAAAAATTTAAATGATGCTTAAACATTATAGGAGTCCAAAGTAAATCTCATTTATGTGACAATATAGAAATATTTTAATGTTAAAAATATCTGACAATCTTTATTTCATATTAATATGAATATTTCAAAGGAACTGTAATATTATCCTGCTGTATATGAAAAATCCTTTTAGCTTCAAGCCCAGTCTCAGTAATGTTTTATAACAAGTAGAAACTTGTTTATTTTATTTATTACTCAGGAAATGAGCAAATAGATAAAAACTTTAAATTTGCTTTCTTCTCTTGAGAAGCCTAGCCAACTTTTTTTGAAGGATCTAAGAATGATATTTCGAATATCTGCTCATTCTCATACTATCAAATGCTTCAGCAAATGCCACCCACTGTCACAAGCGAGCACAGTTAACTCTTTCCTGGCCGTGCTGGGTTCAGAACTGAAGACAAGGCTGCCCTGCCATGACCACAGGTCATGGTCCTCCTTATGATGCTGGTTCCTTCTCCTTTCACACCGGCGTTACTGCTGCTCAGAACATTTTCGTACAGCACCAAACACAGCCCAACATGCACAAGGGTGCTTGGTAGTGTCAATGTTAGGGTGTCATGGAACAGGTATTCTCACTCTCATTTCCAAAAATACCGAAACTGTCAACACATATATCAAAACACTATCTCTATCTCTAGCGGTTTATCCTAGAGAATAAGCCTTGTTTATTTGACAGACTCTACCTTAGATGAGAAAGAGGCCAGGAGGTTTCTTTGGATAGAACGGGACTGCTGAGTATGTGTTTATGCTAAGAAGAAAGTCAGTAAAAGAGGAAAGAACAGATGGAATTAAGAGATGAATTGAAATTCCAGAGGAAAACGGAGAAGAATGTTAGAGAACATAGTCTTGGTAAGAAGGAGAGAGACTAAGCTTCTCCTGAAAAACAGAAGAAATGGAGAATGAGACAAATAGGAAGAAACGTGGACCAGGTCAGAGGTTCGGGAGAAGGCTGAGGGAGACCACACCGAACATTTGCTCTGAGGAAAAAGTCAGAGAGCTGGGAGTCAGATCACAGGATGATTTCAGCATTTCCCAAGGATGTTTAGATGAAAAAGTTGTGTTCGCTCCTCCCCTCCATAAAAGTACCAATAGGCCCCCCGTGGAGATAGTAAATTTCAGGTGTGAGAGCAACCAATAACACCCAATTTTCTTTAATATACATAAAATACATACATTTTTATAGAACATTGTTTTCCTTTTACCCTTATATTTTGTAACCACTTTTGAAATAATGCAAGTGATCTTTCTTTAAATATAATTTTTACCATGCAATCAGTTCTAAAGTATAGAAAACGACAGAGATTAAAAAGAGGGAGGAACACAGTGCATTCCAGTTGACTGGAAAATGGCATGCTTTACCTCTCGTATTTCATGGCCAGCTCCTCTGTATGACTGCAAGTCCTCCAAGATGCCTTCTGCATCTTTTAACACTACATTCACCTGATTATAAATTTCCTTCTCGGACTCTGTAGGCTGGGCATCTAAACAGCAGGAAAGCACAAGAAAATTCACAGTCACATGAATTTTTTAGTACACATATAACTCTAAATCCAAATTTCTAAAGATGATTAACATTTATTCAATGTTAACTCTGCACTTTTTGGAAAACATTGATAATTTTTCCATAGTTCTATACTTGAACAACTAGCCTCAAGTTTGTAAATATCACAAAGCAGCAAGAGAACACCAAACATTATTTATTGTAGATACAAATAATGACTTGGTATATTAGTGAACTTGAGAATTATCATTCGAATTTAAATTGTGATGGCACGAATAACTGGCTTTTCATTACAGTCGACTATCAGTAACGACTGTAAATTCATGAGTAATGATCTATTTTAATGCTAGAGAAATGAAAGGCCTAATATATCTTGCTAATCCATGTTTAAGAATGAAATGACTTTATTCTCCAATAAAGTTAATTTAATGACTGAATATTGATATAAAGACTTTTAAAAGAATCCTTTCTAGATGTGCCCTTTTCTAAGGGACCACTTTAAATTCTATACCAAATGAACTTCTCTGTTGATGAATACAAGGTCAAGATTCCAGCGCAGAAGAGTTCAAAGTATGAAACTGCTCCAGAATCACTGGGCCGCTGAAAGCTAGATGCTTTAGCTGCAATATTATCACTGAGCTTTTTAAATGCTAAAGTAAAAACTGAGCTCCTCAGTCCTTGAGGATGAGGAAAAAATGAAGAATTACAGTTACAAAAAGCATGACAAGGAACACAAACATATGGGTATTTCCACCACCTGCAGTGTTAGCCACAGAACATATGTTAATGTGACTAAATCTAGCTTTCTCTCTGCGAGAAATTCTGTTTTTAATGATGCGGTCATTTTTTCCTAAGGATAAATCTTTTCCGTCTAATACATGGCTTGTGGAGGGGATAGGGCACTCTGTGAGGAAACTGAATTTTTCTTTATCTTTTCAACTAGGCCGTGCTTCTACAGAGACGGCATAAAGCATCTAAAATGATACACATTATAATTACCATAATGTTTTAGAGGAATTATGCTGGCAGAATTTCTCCCTACTAAAATGTTCTCTTATGATGGTAGGGAAGGGAGACCAAATTTATAATTTGAATTAAGAACATGTCTGATCTGTTTTGCTTACCTAATTTATGATATGAATTAAGAACATTTCTGATCTCTTTGTTATATTAAACTAGTGTTTAAGAGTTTCTGTATCCACAAACCACCCTACAAATACACAATAATCTATATCTATTCCTTTCCTTAGAAAATTTAAGGAAACTACCGTAAGTTGACACATGAAACTAGGACTCCAGATGCCTAAATACTGTAACTTTATTTTGTGCTTGGGACAAGTCATAGTTCAACCAATCCCAACTAGTCAACTAGTCAAATACAAATCACATATTTTTTAAATCAACAATTACAGTACCAAATTTTAATTTCAAGGACAGTACTACAAAAACATAACACAGTAACATTTACATGCAGCCAACTTAGGGATTTATGTTCTCACATTTGTTCCCTTATTTTCAAATTTTTTTTCAGAAATCATGCACTTTTTGAATGAAAATTCTATGACAAAATAATTACATAAGAGGAGCCAATTAAAAAAAGACTGTGTCCAAAGTTATACATGTTTTACTAGGAGTGAATAATGGTATTTTTGCCAAATGACTTTAAAATCAGCCTGTCATTTAGCAGTAATATCCTCTCACATTTAGCCAGACCTTGTTCTCCAAAGTCATGGTTAGACACACACTTTTAAAAAGTACATCTCGTAACTCTTATACTTACACTAGGCGCAGCAGAAAAAATACTCTTTACATGCAAAAACAGCAATTTTATACTTTTTCACGTGGGCTGTGAAACTACAGACATAACATCAATAGGAGACACATAGTTTAAATTCATGAAGAGGGAATTCATGACAAAGGACAATATTTTGACTGTTATAAACCAAGAGGTATTTATAAAGTTTGCAATTACTATGCATTTTTGGTGTGGTGACTAGTTGTTAAGATAAAAATGTGACACTGAGACTTAGAGACAAAGAAACATTATAAAGTAGATTTGAATAGACCTTGGGAGTGATTACTGATTATATTAAAGATTTAATAAGTAACAAGAAACTTAAAAACAAAGGTAAAGACTTCTGTTTCCCCTAAGGGTGGGACAGCCCAGCACCACACTGAACAGTTTTAGCTGCCACAGGAGAGTCACATTGTAATTTTGAAAGCTGCTGAAGACTGCTGTAGAAATGAAGACAAACAGAAAATAGCAGACAGGTAAGCACTACTTTACCGACAGCAAGTCATGCAAAAGGTGAGAAACTAGGGAGCGGGAAAGACTATGTAAAAGAAAGCATTTATTTAAAAAAAACAATGGTATCATATAATGCACCCAAGACTTGTCACTTTGATTTTTCAGAGCAAAGAATGTAAAACTGTATTAGTTGAAGGAAAAGCCTGCCACTTAGCCAGCTAACAAAGGGATAGTCGTTTGATTGCAAAAGGATGCATCTACTACTGGAGTAGGTGCAGTGCTAACTCATCAGGCTTCTTTAAAAGCTGCTCAAGGGCAATTACAGCATGTTTCAGTTGCTCAGACTGTTTGGAGGTAAAATTCAATATTGTAATAATTTCACCCCACTTTCCTAAAAAGAGTCACTGAAAGTAAGTGTTAAAATTGAAGTTGGGCGTGGGGGAAGGGGAAATCTGTAATACTCTCAACAATAAAGATTTTTTTAAAACTAAAGTTGTTATGGTACAAAAAGAGGCAAAGATCAGCTACAAAAGAAGGAAGATAAAAAGGAAATCACATGAAAATTATAACTGTGATAAAGGATGCTTTAATCTGGCATCCATTCATACATTCGCTCAATAAATATTTATTCTCTAACTCCATAAATTTCATCAAGGCAGGGCTCAATATACAGTACATGTCACTGAATGGCATGCAAACTCAGTACCGAGCAGATTTTCTAATAAAATTGTTGCATGAATGAGAAGGTACCGAGGTGGTAGATATAAATATGCCTCCAGCATGAGTTAAAGGACACCATTATGCAGTTTCATCTTTGAACAAATAAAATCCTGTTTCATTTTAGAGGAAAAAAAATATAAGGACAGACCATAAGAATAAAAGTATTTCAAAGTACAGAGCAAAAACAATAGAAAATATACAAAAGGGAAAATGGAAAATAAAGTCAGCCTAAAAAAGTGGGTACCGATAGTTGTAAAAGATGTGTGTGTGTGTGTGTGTGTGTGTGTGTGTGTGTGTGTGTGTGGAGGGGGGGGTGACACACAGGTAACACAAAAGACACAGAATTAGAAGAAATATATGATTAAATGGAAAGGCACTAAAATAAAGAATCATAGGAAGTAAGGTTCTATTTCTCATTTACAAAAATTCACCGATTTTTACACTCCTACTGTGGTCTAACTGAAAACAGTAACTTTGTACGTACTTCTCCATTGTCCTTCACTAAATTTGCCTGAAACGTTCTACTGCACCTCCACAAACCAATTCAAACGTCACCATCAGAACGTCCACTCCCTGCAAGGTAAAGCCAATCCCTCCTGAGCTACACCTGGGATGTAAACTACACAAAGCTTATTATTAATCTGCATTTCTATCTACCCCACTAGACTGAGAACTCTCCAAAGGCAGGAGCTGTATCTTTGCGCCCCTGGCACCTACTTGTGGGCAGGCGGGAGGCTTGGCATAAATGGATGCTGAACTGAAGTGAAAAACAGCACATTGTGTGCACATGCTAAAGTTAAGACAGAGTATTTTGTATCCTCGGACTCCATTAAATCATGTCTAAAATAAACCTAAATTACAATAGTAACCTAAATATTACTGTTCATCTAGATATAAACAATGTCGAACTTGATATTTTATTCAATAAAAGAATGTGGTTTATTCTCTGTAATCATAAGGAACTGGCACATTAAATGTTGACCATTTTGACCCATCTCATGGGCTAAGGTCACTCTAGTAGCCAAATCATAAGGTAAGCTTTCACCAGAAAAGTTTTGTTTTCAAAAAAAAAAAAAAAAAAAAGACGAATGAAAGATAAAACTGATTAAGAATCAAAAGAAAACATACTTTAAAAATCTAAATAAGAAATAACAGGCAAACTCTGGCCTAGGATGCAGAATGTTTTCACTAAATTTCACTTACAGTAGTATACCAGTAAGTGTCAAATCAAGAGTTCTACATTGGCTGATATAGGCAACAATATCATTCTTTAACTTATAGCTGCCCGTAAGAAGTTAATTGTTGTTGTTAGCAATTCCGACCTTTTCCTGGCACTAAATTAACTATTTAAATTTAAGGATAACGATCCAAACCTACTCCAGATTAGGAAACCAAGGCCAAATAATATTTTAAGTACTACAGTAAACTCATGCTTCTCACTGGACCACAACCTAAAGCTCGGTTTATAAAAAGATCAAGTGCCAAGTCTTGAACAAGATCTTGACTGTGTCAGAGCCAAGATTCTGCAAATGTAAGGAATTGGAGGCAGAGTAAGAGGGAGACAGAATAGCAGAAAAATATACAAGACCAAGTTTAAAATAGATGCAAATAAACTAAAATACAGCTTTAATGTAAGTTGCCTCATCTGAAAGAGTAACCTTTAAGTCAGCAATCTGCTCAACATCTCCAAGCTGATTAAAATTCATGCTAAACATGCACTTAAAACAATCTTGTTAAATTGTTGAGAAGGGTCAAGAAAACCAATATTTATTTAACTACATGGTTCCCTAAAAACCCACAATTTTTTATGGTCCTGATATTAGCATTACTACTCTTCGCTAGCATGCACACACTACCAAACTATTAACAGAACATTGATAGGAATGTAATGAAATTAGAAAAATATCAGAGACCATAAGTTATTCCATAAGATGTAGAACAATAAATTAATGTGTGCATAGACACTGTCCTGGTTTCAAGAAAAATATTTAAATTATTCATAAAGTAGAATGAATTGCATAATATCACATAAACTAAATAGAAGTTGACGATGAAAAATGCAGTGACTCTGGGGATTTATTTTCAGGGATTTGTTTGTTTTTAAAGCCAGAAAAGGTCTTAAGGTTTAAGTACTTAAATATCTGTTCAAATGTTTTAACCTTAGTGGTAATGCAAGAGATCACACGATTTACAATCTAAGGCGCTCTCTTTACCCTTTCCTAACAATTTTCTAATGATCAGTTAAAATAGCAACATTCACACTAATACACCAATTTAATATCATTGTTCTTGATTTGACAACCAGACAAGCTTAAGCAATACATACAGCCAGCCAAAAATGCAAAAGCTTTTCAACATGCATGGGGTCAATGACACTTACCTGCCACCCTTAGACCATATTACAATAGGTCATGCAACATAAAACAAACAGAAGGCAAATTACTTAAAGGTCTGTGAACCCATTATTTTCTTTATATTTAGAGTTAGAAAAAAAATTAACTCCTGAAATAAGTACATATAATGAGTTTCTTAACTTTTCAAATTAATTATAGACAAAGATTAAATAATTAAGGTTCACACTTACCTTTTAATATTATGCCCAAATAAGCTTTGAATGGCCTTCAAGAACCGATTTGTATTAAAATACTTCAATAGGTATAGAGTTAATATTTAATTTTTTCTCAAATGCAATAATTCCCCTCAAAAATTGCTTCTACTAACAAATTTCCGCTGAAATTTTTTCATATAAGAATCTTAAATATTTTCATTTGAGATCTCAAAGTATAAAAAATGCTCAACTAAAGAGATACCTCTTGTAAAAATTCAAATAAAAGCATTTTACAATTTAGTCTATAAAAAAAGGATTTGCAGTTCTAGAAGGCACCAGAAATTTTACTCAAACAATTCATAGCTCAGTCATGCAAAGCAGTTAAACAGATGGCAAAGTGGAAACATTCATTTAGTGCAAGACAAACGCAGTCTACTGCAGGCAAAGAGAAAAAGATATAAAATCATCTTCTCACTTTCAAAATCAAGGAAAAAATTTGGCCCCTGCTCAAGGTCTGTGCATGTCAAAACTTTAAGAAGATTCCCCATGTTAAGGTACCTGTCGAGACAAGAATGAGAAAAGAGAAAATATCCCTTTATAAAAAAGAACATTGGAAATGGATTTTTTTGTCTCAATAGCAAAAGGGAAAATGTTCATTAGGCCATGAATTCGTCCTTCAGGTACCGAGCCCGGGCTCGGCGACAGCACACCGGGCTCGCAACGGCTGATGCGGAGGACCTAGAGGTGAAATGTGGCTTCCTGTACGCAATGGCACAACTGTTGCTCTAATTCTTCGCAAAATTCTCCCCAGACAAGTCTCATCAGTGGCCTTATAATGAAAAATTCTGTAAGTATTCCAATAGTGCTTGTATTCTGGAAAAGAAATTTCTGATCAAGAATTACTCACGTGTAATCTTGTTTAAAATTGCGCCGAAACAACAATTTGTTTCAAAGCCAAATATCGAGAGTTTTGGCCACAGCTCACCTCTGCATTTCATCTTAAGAGATTAGAATGTTAAACGTACTTCCTGTATGCCATGCAATAAAGGGCTATTTCTATCCAAATTTGGGTTTGTAGCGGTGGCGGTTATTTAAGTCCTGATTCTGATGTGCAGCACACTTCGACGGTAGCCGCCGCCGGTGGCAGGATCGTGAGCAGGTCCCCACATGTCACCACGGCATACTAGCAGAATGTTCATCAGAAGGCTCCTTGCTTCATGGACTAATGAAAGGACAGCACTGGCTACAGACTCACCATGATTTTAGCAAATGAAAAACTAAAGAATTATACGTATGATGGTGATGCTTGCCTACGATTAAGGGAAAAAATCATGCAAATTTTGATTCCCCATCCTTTATTAACAAATGTTCTGGCTGGCCTTCACTGTGGTGTGAGGATCATTCACCTTTCACCTTTACCATTATGCACCAGCTGTGAAGGGCTAGAGAGACTTACTTTCAAAGTCCAAGAAAAAATGTGCTGCATTGTGGTCTATGTCCCTGGTTAGCACCTTAATGAGATTACCCATGCCAGCAAACCTAAAAATAAAAATGGCAACATCATTTAGTTCCAGTAAAAAAGTTTAAGCAGAGGCCTGGGATTCGGCAAAGGCTGGCTTGCTCGGAATTACCAACAGGTGCAGGTCTATGTGCTCCCGGCACAGAAAATGTGGCACAACAAAAGCACAGGTGGCTCTGAGTTTATAGCTCTTGTCCTCTTTTCCACAGATCAAAAAAAGTTACATACACCAAGGCTGGAAAAAGATCAGATTTTTACATGTAACTTGAAATATTTACATTTGATTAATCCATATTAGGTTACTTCTTTATAATGTTTGAAGCATACATTCTCAGTTTAAATGAACATCAGAATAGATTTGTCAAATAAGTAAATACTGAGACCATATTTTTAAATAACGGGCAATTTCCTTCTGTAGATCATATCCTTTGGGAATTCAAGAAAGACAGTACTCAAACCATACTTAACCAATCAATACTAAAGACAATTATCAATAACCTACATAAAAATTTTTACAACACATAAAACAACATTTCTTACATTTTCTATACCCGAAGATTAATCAAACGTTTTATTATTTACTCAAACTGGTTATTCAACAATATTAACTAAATACATCCATACAATGTATATAACTCAAAAGTTAACATAGCAAACCAATACTAAGGATCCAGCAATTACCATAACACAAGTTTGCAGAGGAAAAACAGTAAAAATAAAAGTATTGGCATAAATCTTGCGCAAGAATTTGCCATGACTCAGTGTGGATGGATGTGGAGGGCGATGTCAGGACCATCAGGAAGCCAGATTCAAACCTGGAAGGGGCAGTAACTATTGGGAAGTCAGACTACAGTGCACAGATATTCCCCCACCCCAATCTCAATACTTTTTCTCCAAATATGGAACTGCTGGCAAACATAAATGAAACAAAACATAAAAGCAACAGTATTTTTTAATCAATGAAAGAGAGAACTTATTATTATCCCCATACAAGAGTTTGAAAAGAGTCAGTGCTTCTGGCCACCTGTGCTGGTACCTCTTCCTCCACCTACTCCCCAGACAATGGCTAAGTCCCTAACTTTAAACCCCACAAAGAAGAAATAACAGTTTATGTATAACAGTTATTTGTTGGACTGACTTATACATTTCTTAGAAAATTTTAAGGACAATCTAATTTATTCACAAATACGGTAAATAACGAAGGGTCTCCTTTCTTTCAAAACAATCTTCTCCCAATGGGAGGTAGGGATCGGTCTTATTTTTTATATCAAAATCCCTATGACACAGAAGTTACTAAAAAGACTTTGTACAATGTTTTACACAAATGAATTAGCTGAGGTAAACACTAAAAGGAAACTGTTTAATCTTCTCTTATACATGATAAAAAATTTAATAATGCCAAACTTTTACAGTAAGAAAAATATAAACACTGTTCCAAAATCATCAATCACATCCAAACAATTACTTCAAGCTGGCTACTAAATTTATTCAATAAGTTTTAAGAACCATTTAGAAATGGACTATTTCACAGATTTAATTTTTAAAAGCTTTCAAAAAAAAATATATATATATATATAATATATGGAATTTCTGTTTCCAAATATACAAACTCTCTCACTAGCAAGAACTGAGACCAAATATACAATGAATGGATTACCCTAGTCCAGTGGTCGGCAAACTGCAGCTCGAGAGTCACATGCGGCTCTTTGGCCCCTTGAGGGTGGCTCTTCCACAAAATACCACGTGCGGGTGCGCACATACAATGCGATTGAAACTTCATGGCCCGTGAGCAGAAGTCGGTTTTCGGCTCTCAAAAGAAATTTCAATCATTGTACTGTTGATATTTGGCTCTGTTGACTAATGAGTTTGCAGACCACTGGCCTAGTCCTATGAGACCATCGACAGTTGCCGGAGGGAGGGGAGAGGGAGAGGTTAGTTTCCTTACCTTTTTACTTGTGCGCCACAGGTGATCCTCAGGAAAACACTGAAACTAGCCAAGTCTGACTGCTCCACCTTCCTACCTCCCCTTCACCATTTAGTCCTTCTTTTGAGGCATCCTAGCCAAATGTGACCCTAACCCCCTCACCTGCTCCATACTTGGTTTGGTATGTCCACTCTCCACAAGTACTCAAAAATTTAGCATTTCTTACCTCTTCAATCCAAATAGACTGTTAAGTCTGTTCAAATAATGGAATGATACCCTCTCCCCTGGGAAACTGACCTTTGGCCCACGTCACAACAAACATTCCCTTTCCTTAGACCACATTCCATTCGCTAAGACCATTCTCTTTCCCCTCCAGACTTGCCCAGGATCCAGACTGCCCAGAGAATTCCCCTCTGAAAAAGCCCAATTAGAGTCCTTTAAAATCTCTAACTCCCTGGTACCAAGCTGCTGGTGTTATTTGGGGTTCAGTCCATCTGTTTCCAGATAATATCATAAATTCATATTTATTGACCACTTTTGGCCTCATGCATACCTCCTTTGGCGACCCTAACAGACTCTAAGTTTAAACTGGCCCAGTGTACCTAGTACAGTTTCACAACCTCAACACTATTAAAACTGGGGCCTGTCTCACATTGTAGGATCCTTAGCAGCAGCATCCTGGGCCTGTAGACACTAGAGGCCAGTAGTAACTCACCGCACAGGTTGGGACAACTGAGTATAACTCTAGAGATTGCCAAATGCCCCTGGTTGGAACCCCCAATATAGTACAACAGCGGCCCCAAAGATCTGAAAACAGTGCATTATGTTATCAGCGGTCATATCTTTTTTTATAAGGAAAACAAAAAAAAAAAAAAGTAAAACCACATCCTAATCTTGCATTGTTTAACTCCTCAGCCAAAAACAAAACAAAACCTTCCATCCCCTCGGTGTGGCTGATTGCAATGAATACAATATGGTGGCTGATTGTTGGTCTGGTCCACTGTCAGACTGCCTGGATTCAAAACCTAACTCTGCCACTTCCCAGCTCTGGGACTTGAGCCAGGATTCCTGACTTCTCCACGCCTCATGCGTGCAACATGCACAATAATAAACATCACCGCAGCGGCTTCAGACACTGACAGGTGGGTACAGGACGCCTGGCATCTCCTTGCTGCTGTGGTATGGCCCAGGCAGAGCCAGAGGATCTGCTGGAACAGCAGAGCCTGCGGAATGCGGCTGCGGAGGGAGTGGCAGCCTGGTTTCCTGCCCACCCTCCACCCCAGCAGCCCGGCAGTCACACAAGAATGCCGCCAGCGGATGTAGTGCAACTGAGGCCCCAGAAGGTGTCCTCAAGTCCCTGGTTTGTGATCCCATTCGCTCCCAGGTTCCAGCTGCCGTTTCCCTGTTTAGCTGCTAGATTTTCCTCAGGTTTTAAGATCCCTCATTTCTTTCAACCAACTTCCCCTTTACCTTTTAGCTGAGCTGGGCTTTGGTCATTTGCATCTAAAAAGAGTTCTGAATAATAAGACTTCTAAACTTCAGATGAATACATAAATCTGCTACAAAGGATAACAATATATATAAAAGATTATATACAACTTGGTCCAAAATGCTACTGATTTATTCTAGAAGCTCTATTTCAAAGTAAGTGATAAATATATTTAGAAGTGTAAACTGCAAGTCTTACAATCAGCATTTAGGAGGAAAACTAAAGAATTTTCTTTCAGGTTATTTTTATTGTAATCCTTGAAGTCAGACTAAATATTGTAGATATTCAGTGAGTAGGCTAAGGGGAAATGTAATACACAGACAGCAAATGTAGTTCACTTCCGGTGTTGGTGACGTTTCTGGTAGAAATTGCAGCACGCTGGTTTCAGAGCTGGCGATGTATATGGAAAGGAACTCGCTCTTCCTGGCCGGCGGTCTGCGGCTGGCTGAGCTCACAGAGGCGCTTACTAACTACGGCAGACCACTCCCCACAAAGCACTTGAAGTTTTCGTAATTAAAACAGAAGCCAAAGGAAACACAACTAGTTCCCTCTCTCTCTAGAAAGTTCCCTCCAGATGTGGTTGCTTTCTTTCCCCTTTAAACTCCAGGGCTTTCCA